GTATGTTATCCCTTTATAGTCCTCGTCCCGTCAAAAAAATAACTATTTGAGAACAGAGGAAAAAATCATCTAAGAGTCTTGCTTATTAGACAACCATTCCTGTTAATTTTTTTTTTTCCCTTTAAGAGATAGAGTCTCCCTCTGTGGCCCAGGCTAGAGTGCAGTGGCATCATCATAGCTCACTGCAACCTCCAGGTCCTGGGCTAAAGCAGTCCTCCTGCCTCAGCCTCCTGAGTAGCTGGGACTACAGGCATGTGCCACCACACCCAGCTAATTTTTTCTAGTTTTGGTAGGGATAAGGTCTGGCTCTTGCTGAGGCTGGTCTCAAAATCCTGAGCTCAAGTCGTCCTCCCACCTGGGCCTCTCAGAGTGCTAGGATTACATATGTGAGCCACCACACCTGCCCCATTCCTGTTAAATTTTTAGTAAATTTTCTTGTTTATTTTTCCCAGATATGTTTTCCTGTCATTGTAATGGTAGAATATAATAGTAAGTTTTGAATCCATATTTTACTCTTCAGCACTATTCCATATTACTAACTTCCTAGAAATAATTTCTTATGGTTATGTAATATCTTGTGGAAAAGATCTATTAATACCATAATATAAGTGGTTTTCACTTTGTGGATATTTAAGGTGGTATTAGTTTTTCACTATGGTATTGTCTTGAATATCTATAGCTTAAGGTGTTTTTCCCCCTTGGCACTGTGCTAATGAGGATAATATTTGTTTTAATTTGGTAATTTTTTTCCAAAAATGGAATTACTTGGTCAAAGGACATGTTATAATTCTTTTCCCCCCTGGTTCTCAATAGATTTGTATTATTATATGAAGTTTGATTCACAGATACAGACTTTCTTCCACCTGGACTTTAATAGTCATCTGTCCAGTTTTTATTTTTTCTTAGTCTGAGATGTTTGTCTTCGTGAAGTGTTCAATCAGCACACTGCACTATCACATGTGCATATTTATTGCATTGGATTTCTGCCATTGAGGGTCACTGACTCAGATCTTTCAAATTTACCTTTTGGAATCTTTGTGCTATTTAGTAACATAATTAGTTTCTTGACATTGGGAATACTAAATTGAATATTAATTTATGTTGACAATTCTACTTTATTGTTATTACATTTGTGTGGGGTCAGTTTGAGTAAGTTTTTTGCATTTGTTGGCAAACTTGACAACTGGTACTGGTTGTGCTGTTATTTGCCCTAGTTGATTTGAAGGACCGTTTTGCCTTCCTAGGTTGAATACAAGTGCAGAAACTAGGAATGGGTAAACACCATTTTTATGTAAAAGAAATCTGAGGTCTTTTATTCAGCATAGTTTCTTTTAAAGGCACCATTTTGTTTTTCTAAGTGAATTTGCATTTCAAGAGAAAGCTGGCTTCCCTTTTAAATTTATAGTGGCTTTGAAACAGTCTTTGGTTATTTATTTATTTATTTATTTATTTTTTATTTCGGCATATTATGGGGGTACAGATTTTAAAGTTTCAATAAATGCCCTTCCCCCCCTCCCCCCACAAGTCTGAGTCTCCAGCATGACTTTTTTTTTTTTGAGACAGAGTCTTGCTTTCTTGCCTAGGCTAGAGTGAGTGCTGTGGCGTCAGCCTAGCTCACAGCAACCTCAAACTCCTGGGCTGAAGCGATCCTCCTGCCTCAGCCTCCCGAGTAGCTGGGACTACAGGCATGAGCCACCATGCCCGGCTGATTTTTATATTATATATATTAGTTGGCGAATTAATTTCTATTTTTATGGTAGAGACGGGGTCTCGCTCAGGCTGGTTTTGAACTCCTGACCTCGAGCAATCCGCCCGCCTCGGCCTCCCAGAGTGCTAGGATTACAGGCATGAGCCACCGAGGCATGAGCCACCGCGCCCGGCCCCAAGTCTTTGGTTATTGATATCATCTAAAATGTATCTGTAATCAGCCTTGCAAAGTGCTTCTCAGGAGCTTTATTTGGAGATTTAATGTTGAGACACACTTATATAATTTTGAACTAATAGGGCACTGGTAGAACTGGTAGAATTAGGTAAAACGTCCTGATTTTAGATTTTAAAATCTGATTTTAGATTTTAAATTTAAAGTGAGTGTACCAGATGGGGATAGAACAATGAAAGATGTGAAGTTAAGAAAAATTCAATAATCTAGTAATTTATATAGTCCAGAAATATCAGTGTTTAGGCATTTGCACATTGCTTGCAGGCTTATTGGGATGAGTGTTAGAATGGATGGGTGTGGTGAGTCTATTAGGTGTTCAGTTTGTTTACTAGCTGACCATGCTTCTTACTAGCTGAAGAGGGGAATAAGTCTATATAGCGATTGCTTCTGTCTGATCTATTTGCCTTTTTTTGTGGCACATTTCAGAAGGCAAAATTTCTGGTTAAAGTGGAAAAAGCTTGAGATAATTAGTCCCTCTACAATAATTTTATTTAGGAGAGGTAGCAGAGTTAGTAATAATTGTTTAGATAAGAAACTAAACATGTATATGATATTCCAGAATTGAAAGTAAGAGTATAGGTGAAAAGAAATGTGTCCATCAGAGTCCAAAAGGATTATTTATAACTTCATATGAAAACCCTTATGTGTTAAACATTTTGAAATTTCTGCATTGATTCATTTGGGTGGTTTAAAAAATTGTAAATGATTTACAGGTAAGTGTTGTAAATGTAAGCTAATGACAAGACATTCATTCAACATACTTTTATTGAGTCCTACTAGGAACTAGAGATAGTGGTCAACATGATAAGGTGCTTGCTATCATAGACATTGTATTTTAATGGGGGAGACAGAATAAGCACATTTGACAACCAAATTATAGTAAAAAGTGCTATGAAAATAGGGAAATGTGTGTGCCTGCTATGGGTTAGGTTTAGATCAAGTGGAGAGGGAAGACTTCCCTGAGACAGTGACTCATGAGCCCAAGACTTGGGAGTCCCGACGGGACATCATGTGCAAAGGTACCTGAGGAGGGAACAAACTTGGGGTATAAGGGCAACAGGAAGAAGGCCAATGTATTAGTTTCCTATGACTGCTGTAATAAATCACCACAAACTTGGTAACTTAAAGCAACAGAAATTTATTCTCTCACAGTTCTGGAAGTCAGAAGTTAGAAATCAAGGTGTCAGCAGGGCTACTCTCTCTGGAGGCTCTAGGAGAGAATCTTTGTGTCGTCTATTGGCTGTGGACATTCCTTGGCTTGTGGCTGCATCTTTCTGCCTTCACATGGCCTCCCCCTCCTCTGTGTCTGTGTAGATACCTTTGCCTCTCTGTTCTAAGGACACTTGTGATGGCATTTAGGACCCACCTAGATAATCCAGGGTAATCTCATCTCAAAAATCCTTAATTTAATCACATCTGCTTGACCCTTTTCCAAATAGGTGCCATTTATAAATGCCATGGATTAGGATTTGGTATCTATGCATGGCCCCTTATTCAGTTTACTAGCCAGTATGACTTAAGCACAGTGAAGTGTAAGCCAAGAGTGGTGGAAAATGAAGTCAGAGAAGGAAGGGAAAAAAGAGAGGGAGAGGAACTGGAGGTAGTTAGGGACATAGAATTGATAGGACTGAATGGGTTTGGATAGTGAAAGAAAGGAATCAAACATGATGACTAAGGTTTTTAGTTTAGGCAACTAAATGGATGATGGTGCCATTTACTGAAATGGAGAATTTATGGAAGATGAGCAAGTTTGGGAAGAAAAAACAATCAAGAATTGTGTACTAGCTGTTTTCAGTTTGAGATGGCTATAAAAACATGTAAATAAGGATATACCAGTCAGTAGGATACATAAATTTGTTGCTTAGGAGAGGGATCAGCACCATAAATATAAATTTGGGAATTAGCTGCATATTAATGGCATTTACAGCCATGAGATTGGGTAAAATGAAGGTAGAGGAAGAGTATAATAGACTTAAAGGGCCCTGCCATGAGCCTTGGGGCACACCAACATTTTGAGGTCTAGAAGATGAGGAGCTGGCAAAGGAAATAGGAGGGAGTGGCCAGTGGAGCAAGAGGAAAACCAAAGGGGACTGTGTGCTTTAAGCCAGGAAAAGAATGTTGTGAAGAGGAAGGAAATAGTCAATCCTTTCTAATGCTGTTGAGAGGTTTGATAGGTTAAAACATGAAAGTAGTAATTTTGTTACATACTTTCCTTATTAAAAGCATTGTCAGTACAGATACAGGGATGGAAGGTAGATTGGAGTGCCTGTAATCCCAGCTACTTGAGGCTGAGGCAGGAGGATCACTTCAGCCCAGGAATTTGAGATTGCAGTGAGCTATGATGATGCCATTGCACCTGGACGAAAGAGTGAGACTGTCTCTCCCCCCTTGCCCCCACAAAAAGGCAGAGAAGTGGTGCAACAGCTTGAGGGGAATGTGGTGAAGTTAGTTTTTTTTTAAGGTAATGGGAAAGAGTAAGATTTTTTTTTTTAATGAAATGAATTGTTGAGAAAGTTTTCGGTGGCTTGTTTCAAAATTTGCCTTGGAATTTGTATGTTCAGTATATATGGGATATAAGGCCCAGTGTGGTGGCTCACACCTGTAATCGTAGCACTCTGGCAGGCTGAGGCCGGCAGATGGTTTGAGCTCAGGAGTTCAAGGCCAGCTTGAGCAAGAGCGAGATCCCATCTCTACCCAAAATAGAAAAAATTAGCCAGGCATGCTGGCACATGCTTGTAGTCCCAGCTGCTGGGGAAGCTGAGGCAGAAGCATCGCTTGAGCCCAGGAGTTTGAGGTTGCTGTGAGCTAGGCTGATGCCATGGCACTGTAGCCGGGCCAACAGACTGAGACTCTTTCTCAAAAATAAATAAATAAATAAATAAATAAATAAATAAATAAATAAAAAATATATAGGCAGGCGAGCAGGCTGGGTTCGGAGCGCCACTGTCAGGTGGCGGGGGCCTGTCCACGGCCATGGGGGCGTCCACGCAGTCATCATGGGCGTCCTGGGCTCAGGCAAGGGCACCGTGTTGTTGTGCATCACCCATCACTTCCAGCTGAAGCACCTCCCAGCGGGGTCCTGCTCTGAGACAACATGCTGTGGGGCACAGAAATTGGTGTGTTAGCCAAGGCTTTCATCGACCAAGGGAAACTCATCCCAGAGGATGTCATGACTCGGCTGGCCCTTCATGAGCTGAAAAATCTCACCCAGTATAGCTGGCTGTTGGATGGTTTTCCAAGGACATTTCCACAGGCAGAAGCCCTAAATAAAGTTCATCAGATAGACACAGTGATTAACCTGAATGTGCCCTTTGAGGTCATTAAACAGAGTCTCACTGCTCGCTGGATTCATCCAGCCAGTGGCCGTGTCTACAACTTTGAATTCAACCCTCCCAAAACTGTGGGCATTGATGATGTGACTGGGGAGCCTCTGGTTCAGCGTGAGGATGACCAACCAGAGACGGTTATCAAGAGACTGAAGGCTTATGAAGCCCAAACGAAGCCAGTCCTGGAATATTACCAGAAAAAAGGGGCGTTGGAAACATTCTCCGGAACAGAAACCAACAAGATTTGGCCCCACGTATATGCTTTCCTGCAAACTAAGGTTCCACAACAAACCAGAAAGCCTCAGTTACTCCATGAGGAGAAATGTGTATAACTAGTAAGATGAGCAAACCCTTCTTGTCCTTGCATTTAGAAGCTTCTTTTCTTAAGACTCCAGCTTGTATGAATATTCTTTTAAAATTATGTTACTTTTATTTCTACTGATTTTATACTGGATACTAAGTTGGTGCCAAATGAGTCAGATACTAAGATTAATTTTTTAAAATATCATCTAATGTTTTATCTAGTTACCTACTATGGGTGTGCAATTCAAAAATATCAAAAATGTCTAAAGTTTTATAACATCTGTTAGAGCAAAATTAAAAGAACAATTGGTAGTAATATAACCTTTTGTTCAGTAAGAATAAATGGATGATAAAATTTCCATATTTTTCTGGAAAAGTTTAAAAAATTACCTGTCATTTGGGGAAAATATCTCTTCAAAAGTTTTTGCATAGATTGATGCCAAAAATGACATTTCTGACATGGTGGAACATGGCTTCATGAGATACCGTATCTATAAAATTCCAGAAAAAAAGCAACTGGATTTACAGATCTATTGCAAGGTACAAATAAGAAGTATATAAGGTAGGCATGCTGTATTTTGTTGTTAAACATACCTTCAGTTTACTCAGAATTTCAATTTGCTATAAAAATGTATAAATTACCATACAGGAAAATAATTACTTTAAGATGACTTGTTTTCTTTTCAAAATATGTATGTATTGAGGGATATGATTTATGTCAGAAATTGACCTTACAAATTCTTAGATAAGCACCAAAGTTGAATGAATTTTCAACAGAAAATGTAATTAAAGTCTTGTTTTTAGATGTAACTCAGGTTAAGAAATGCGTGTTTCAGGATATACTTGCCAGTTTTTCTCTTTGATCCAAATACGTTCTGCCTTGATAAATCTAAGATACAGTGAAAGAAAAGGAAGGAAGGGAAGAAGAAAAGAAAAAAAATAAAAGAGAAAACCCATGGCACTATGAGCATACTTTAGGAAAGAGAAAGAGATCAGGCATACCTGGGGCGTATTCCCTTGGCATAAATAGCAAACATAATTAGTAAACAGGTATAGCAATAAAAAGAATGTATATGATAGGGTAACAAGGACCAGGAGAGTAACTGAGTTTCCTGAAGGAGTTCTTTATTCCCAAAAAATTGGTATCTGCTAGCTTTTACTGTCACCCTGTCTTAGGGAGAAAGAACTCTGCTGGCAAGTGTCATGTGAGCAGCATTTATAACTATAAATCATTTTCAATTCCTTAGTGGGGCAACAAGGATGCATGCTTATGTACTGTGACCTGGAAGAGAAGTGGGGCAATTTGAGAAATAGAAGAGAAACCTATGTCTTCCATAGGGTACTCTTACTTGGTGCTAAATCAAATGAAACAAGCCCTGTACATGCTGTTATTAACTGCCTTTGAAAATCTGGCCCATTTTATTCCAGGCACAAACAAATGCCAGCAAGTAGTTCTTATGTATCCTAGGGGGAAAAACTTACTTTCCTTTTCCTTTGATTTTTCAAAAATTTATTGTTGATCTTTCAAAATGGACCAAGGCTTTTCTTAAAGGATTATAGTAAATATTTCATTCTTTATATAAGTTTATATAATGCCTTATTTGGATGTTAATATGTTTTCTAAAAATATTGTGAACCACTAAACTTATGAATTATCACTAGATTATCAGGCATGCATTAATCTTTATTAGAATAAAATGAAATTTCTTAAAAAAATATATATATGTATATACATGGGATATTAAATTCCATGACATGAGGATCATCTAATAATAATAGTTTTTCAATTCTTTAGTGCAAGAGTGTATCATTTCCTTTTATCAGTTTTATAACTTTTATAAAACCAGCCTTTTTTTGGTTCTGTTCACTCAATGGGACTTAGGTCACTAGAAACAAAAAAATCTTCAAGTTTTACTTTAAATAGGGTAGATTGGATGACTGTTCTTGTTGTTTTAATGTCTGTGGTGGTTATAAATTGAAACTTTTTTACTGTAGCAATTACCAGAAGTCCAATGCATTTGAAGTAAGCTGTTGTCTTTCTGCTCTTAATAACTCAGAAAAATGGATAACTCTCAAGCTTTATAAAAGTAGTCCTAAAAGTCATTTAGTGTCTCTTGTGAAAGAAATTTTAGAAAATTATCATAACCTAACGATGCCTACCTTGATTTACTCTCTATAGCTTTGGGACTTACTTAAATGAAATTACTTGAGGGAACATTGTGACTGTTCTAATGCAGTTGGTTAATTCTAACGCAGTCAGTTGATTATAAGGTTTCAGCCATAGGTTTTAGATCACCTTTTATTCTTAAACTATTAAATTCTGATTGTCATGTGCAAGAATTTCAGAGCTCTATTCTGAAGGTTTTGTCCTAATTAGAGGAAACTTATGTGAGAGAAAATAAAGGAGTCGATTAATGATAAGGACACTTTAGGAGTTAGAAGTGAGAAAAAAAAAGTACTCAGGTTGTTAATCCAGAGATAACCTGAGAAATGTTGGAAGGTTCCAGAATTAACTTGGCATTCAGCTATTGATATTATAACAAAAGTTGAATTTCTAAAATCCAACAGTCATTATACCACTCACAATGTGCAGTAAAAGTGAATAAATTTTTTTGAGATTAAAGTGGGGAAAATGGAACTGTGAGTATTTGAGAACATCAAAGACAGTCTTCAGCTACTGCTGTGACAAGTTTGATTGAAATTAACCATGAATATTCTGATCTTATAGCCGAGGGACATATCACTTAATTGGATTTGCAGTGCAGCAGCAGGATGCATACATAGATAAATTGTTTTCAGTGCATAAGTGAATTTTCTTTTGTGTTAGTTCCTTTTGAAAAATGTGAATATATTTCACTATATATGAACAGTGGAGGTTTTTAAAAATTACATAGTACTTTACTGTAGAAACTGTTAACCACTAATCTTACTCTGTGCTCTACTCTGTACGGTTCGATGAGTATACTGTAATATATGGAACTCTGCAAACTATATATATTGTATATTGGCAAGCATTGATTTATTCATGTGTTAGTTTGGTCAGATTTTATATACCTATTTATTAATAGTATTTGATTATACTTTTCAAGCATATGGGTAATTTAAATGACCGAACTCCTAAGTCAGGCATCAACAAACTCTTTCCATAAAGTGCTAGCTAGTAAATTTGTAAGTTTATGATTTAGACTTTGCAGCTTTATAGTCTCTGTCACAACTTTGCTGTTGTAGTGTGAAAGCAGCCATAGATATATGTAGATGAAGAGGGTGGTTTTGCTCCCTCCTGTCTACAGGAACAGGTGGCCCACCAGATTTGGCCCATGGCTGTAGTTTGACCACTGTTGTTTTGTGTTTTTTTTTGAGACAGAGTCGCCCCAGGTAGAATGCAGTGGTATCATCATAGCTCACTGCAACATCAGACTCCTGGGCTCAAGTAATCGATTTGCCTCAACCTCCCCAGTAGCTGGGACTACTGGCACAAGCCACACATCTGGCTAATTTTTCGATTTTTAGTAGAGATGGGATCTTGCTATTGCTCAAACTGGTCTTGAATTCCTGGGCTCAAGCAATCCACCTGTCTTGGCCTCCCAGAGTGCTGAGATTACAGGCGTGAGGCACCACGCCTGGCCCCGACCGCTGTTTTAAGTGACATATATTAATATGTTATATATACAATGTTAAAGTGAAGAGGTCTTAGAATTTAATTAGTAAAGAAACATCCAGTGATCCAGAAAACCTTATGTTCTATCATTGTTTTGTTCTGAACAAAGCTCAATTATTAATATTTTCTAGTATTTGTGAAATAGTTAACACGTTCTTATTATTCAAAGTAGGAAACTAGTTTTTTCTCTCTTATTTTAGGATAGGTATTCTTCTGGAGCAAATGGAGACACTTTTAACAGGACTCACTCTTCATCATCAGGTATGTGTTAAGGCAAAAAGGTGAAACCTTTTTTAGGTTAAGGGTTTGATTTAGTGAATGAGTAGCAGTCTAGAAGACATCTTATAGATGATGTATATTTCCTAGTGAAAATTAATTCTGATTTGGCTATTTTGAGATGGGGGCATTTCTAACTAGAGGAAGGGAAAAAGGGGAGACTGTAGTGTTATACACTGTCTTATATGATTTAGTGGGTTGTTATGAAACATTTGTCCAACCTAGAAGTTGCATATTTGGCTTCCAGGTTGCTAGAGCATTGTCAAGGTTCCTCACATAAAGGAGTAAGACATTGGACCCTACAAGATTGTTGAAGCAGGTTACAATGGTGGTGAACTGTCAGGATAACAATTGTTTAAGCCAAGCTTACCATACCATCAAGATATCAAACTCCCCTTAGCCTTCTGTCCCCAGCCTCTGGCAACCACCATTTTACTGTCTATGAATCTGAATTACTATGAATTTACTATGGGTCTGTGAATTTGAGTTACTGCTACTTTTAAGGCTGACTAGCATAAGGAAGAGGGTGTAGTGGCATCAGGTGGTAGTTTTTCCATTTCCTTACCAAATATTAGTGGATGAGGTAAAACATTTTATAGTTAAAGAAGCTGCTGGCTCATTGAAGCCTGGCCTAAAGTGGAAAAACCTGTGCGAGGTAGGCTAGTTTCTAAAATGTGAGGCTAGTTTGAGAGTATCAGGTTGAAGCAAATTTAATTCCCATGTACATCTTAAGTTCAGGGTAAATCTATTGACAAAAGTTAAATTTAAAAGAGATGCTTTTGATATTGTCAAAATGCACTTGTCTTTCATAAACATTTAAATGTGGTAGTTTAATATAGAATATTCAGATTCTCAAAAGTTTGGGAATTGCTACCTGCTGAAGCCCCATCAAAAGGCTAATTTTGTTTTTCCCCTATGAACTCTGTGTGTGTGTGTATGTACTTGGAATTGTCAAAAAAGACAAATGGATAAAAGTAATCTCTGCTTCTTTACATGTCTGTTTGCATAGATCACTGGGTAATCAGGACAAACCTGGTTTTTTGAGGTATAAACAGATGCCAGTTTTTGTAAACAAGTGAAAATTTAGATTTGTAGTATATTAAAGATGCCATATTTTGTGTTGGAATCTTTAAGAAGATCCACTGAAATAACCATCAACTAAAAGCCAGGACTTTTCTTAGCATTAGATCTGTGAATGTTTAGGTTAATGAAATCAGGTAATGAAAAATATTAATTGCTTGGTTTCTTCTGGATAACATACTTTTTGTAGTTCTTTTAAAATTTTTTTTTCATGTAACTTTTTCTCATTACAGAAATATAAACCAGGCCAATGAATGTATATATGCAAATATGCTTATTGAAAAAAATTTTAAGTAGAGGTAAAAGGAAGAAATAAAATGGTCTGAAATCTTGGCCCCCAGATTTAGCCACCCTTGACAGTCTGATTTTTTAGATCTCTGTGTAAATGCCCACATATATAATTACAGTTTACTGGTATATATGTTCCTTTTATTATAAATTCCTGCCTTGCTTTGCCTTTGTTTACCTTCCCTTCCATACCTCTTCATGCTCTTAAAATTGTATTTAGACATGTTTCTTTTCATTGTTTAAGTCCATTTCATGGAATCCTGTTATAGTACATCTTGCTTTTAGTTAATAGTCATGGAAAGTCTTCTAAGCAACTGGTATAATGTAATTCTTTTCAAAATTAAGTGAAAAAAATTCACATTACCTGGCTTTAAGGTGTCAAATATTAACAACTTATAATGAAAAACAGTCCAATTTCTCATCTTTTGACTTCCTAGTATGAATGATATATATGTAGCTCTTTCCCATCCCCCAACCACCCCACTCACACTTCTTCCCTTCCCACTTGCCTAATAGTTATCACACTTTTTGTTTAAAATCTATATTCAGTTTTTAGATTATCATAGCTGCATATATATCATTCACATACGAGCCACATAATATTACAGTTTCATTTTCTTTATTATTAAACCTTCTGTTTTGTTTTTACTAGAGTTACCTCTTACCTTGTTTTGTTTACTTGATCTGTGT